GATACAACCTCGTTCGGTAAGCAATACGAGATGATTCGCACACATGGTAACGTGTAAACACACGTGTGAGCTAGCGTTTACTCGTGGTTACTCCCGCGAGTGTGTAAAAAGTACAAAAGCTCTAAAACGTGTTCAACGTGTTCAAAACCGAGTTTGAACTCTAGTTTCGTTTAGTTTGTTTTTCCTCTCTTGATACGGACGCGTGTCGTGAAACACAACGAATTAATAACACCCAGAGAGAGAGAGAGAGAGAGAGAGATAGTGAGATAGTTGCGAGACATCGTAGTAATTAATTTACCAACTACCTCGGATGAAATTATCGCCCGAACGTATTCCCGGTTGGTGCTTAAAGACTATTAATATCCGTTATTGGCGATAATCATTTACCGTCTATGAAGAGCATCATTGCGTACTCTTCCTCTCTCTCTCTCTCTCTCTCTCTCACTATCTGCCCTTACCGTGTTATATTCATTACGCTTTCATTAAGCTGTCACCGGCACACACAGCCATTTTATATCGAGTTTAGAGCGATATTTAATCCGTCTGTCCGTCTATCTATTGGACGTGCAACGCTCGAAAACAAAATCAAATAGAATGACGAAAAGTATTTAATAAATAAAGCGACTGATGTGTGCCACAACGCATCGAGTCTAATTTTTGTATTCGTGTATATATGTGTGTGTGTGTGTGTGTGTGTGTGTGTTCTGTATATGCGTTGCAATACTTCATTAGATCGATAAAATGAGAGAAACTGAGTGAGAAAGGGAACACATCTCTCTCTTTCTCTCGTATAGAAAGATAGAGAAAGCATATAGATATAATATAGCATGGATAGGTACGTGCGTAGGGTGCGTAACGAAGAGGGAGAATAAAGTACTGGATCTAATGCGAGCATAATGACGATAACGACGCTGGCTTTCCAACGTGAGTTTCGTTAATGCTATCGGTAGCTGTTTACACGCACCAAAACGCCATTCTTGCCGATTAATACACGTGTGCATGCGTGTACGTTAGTCGTTAAATACGATGACTGGTCTCTCTCAACTATCTTCCTCTTACATTAGTCTATTTCTCTCTCTCTCTCTCTCTCTCTCTCTCTCTCTCTCTCTCTCTCTCTCTCCCTCTATTTCCCTCATCGTCAATGTTAACGAATACACCTATCCATGTAATGTGTACGTGTATATACCTAACCGTGTATGCTTGTATGTGTATTAGACGTGTAATCACACGAAGGAAACTCGCACGTTACGTGACACAGATAAGAAAGACGTCGACGAACCCGGTGCAGTCGTTTTCCTTGATTCGTCGTCAAGATTGTTCCTCCCTCTTTTCCTCTCTCTCTCTCTCTCTCTCGTTCTATCCTCATTCCTCTTAAAATAATGATAAGGTGTGTCCTAATGAATAAAAAGCAAACGAATTTGTTATCTTTAAACATATACACATGCATATGTATATTTTTCTAATTTCTCATTTCGTTTTCTTTGTTCTCGTCATGTTGTTTGAATTGTTGGATAATAATAGAAAATAATAGCTCGTAAGAAAATATAATAGAGAAGACGTGTATCTTCGTAATTAGGAAAAACAATTATTTTGTAACAAAGCAATTTGTATTTGTTGACATATTTTTGTTGTTGTTTTTTTTTTCTTTTTTTTTGTTATTTTTACCCAAGATAGTGTCGCACAATTTTTATCGTTTAAGGATGTAAGAGAAGAAATAAGAGAGATGTATAGGGCAATAAAAAGAATAATAGATAGATAAAAAGGGAACTGTAAGAGTGGGAAAGAACGAGAATGGGAGAAAGGTAATAGGAAGATGAAAAAATTTCCCTTCTCACGTTACTCTTTCGATTCATGTTGCACGTTTAATATCGTCGCTCATACTCGATTGCACGGTGAATAATAAAATCGACGGGTGGAATCGACACCAAACTGTCTCTCTCTTTCTCTCTATTTTTCTATGTATAGTATACACATATATATATATATACGCGAATACGCATATATATATATAAATATAATATGTGCAATTTTCGTGGAAAAACAGCTTTTTTGGGCTATCATTCCTGTCATTTTCTTCAATTTTATTTTATTTGATTTTTGTTGTATTGTTTTGTTTATTATTTATGTACCTCGCGTACACACATGTATATTTTTATTTCCAAATCTATTCTGTTTTTTTTTTTTTTTTTTTGACACACAATGACCACTTAAAAAAATAAAAAAAAAACATAAAAAAATCTCGAAATCCATAACTCTCGTCTCAACAACAATGCAGAGAAATCATACGCATACGTTCCTATTTATATCTGCAAACGATCGTCTAGGCAAAACTCGAGCATGAGAGGATCGTTATTCGCTATATCGAAGCACAGGATTATCAATTGATCGGCCTTGAATATCGCGCTACAATGATCATCCTGATTATTGGCAACATCAAAGAACTTCCGTGTTAACCGTGCGATTCTAAGCACGATTATCATCCGAATCGAATCGACCACGTATATATGGGATATATATATAAACATATATAATAAATATGCGTGAAGGATAATATCATTCGAATCTAATCCTTATTTTGTAATAATCACGAAAGAGATGAGATCACGTCGATTAGATTAATAATTTCAAATAGAAAATATAATTCGCAATTATGCAATAATTATAATACAACAAACTCACGAATATTTATTTTGCTTCACCTTTGAATAATAATCATAGTTAACACGAAATAATAGTAAAAAGAACCCTTTTATAATCGTAAATTTGCAAAAAAATAATAATTTTCTCTCGAACATTATTTTATCATCTTTATTCTACTCATTGGATAAACGTTTTCGAGCGAGAAATCGAAAGTCAATGGGTATCGGGATAGGAGGAGAAGGAGGATACTAGGACGGAAAATACCTTACCCTTAGAACGAAGCGTGACAACATTTGAAGGTAGGAACAGCCCTACGTAATAATAGCCACCCCACCCTACCACATCGGCTTGCTTTGGTATATGTTGGTTAATCCGATTGATCGAACGCTAAAGCGCGTTATTATCGCCTTACAATTTCCAAGTCGAGACCGTTCGACCAGTACCAACCCAACCATACAGAATTACTCCATGTATTTGTGTATATGTATTTGCTTGCCTGCGTACGTACGTGTTTATAATATATGTAGGTGTATATAAATATATATATCTATATACACACACACACATATGTATGTATATACGTAATACTCTATGTATGTATATTCGAATGAACGTTCATTGCAGCAACCCTTGCACCCCGTAGCATCGTCGTGTGTGTGTGTGTGGAAGTTTGACAGGACGCTGCTGGCGGGGTAACAATGTGGGCGCGCGCGCGCGCGCACGTCCACGCTCGTGTGTCCGACGATGATGCAGTCGAGACTTCAGAAGTCAACCGGCTGGCTATACATACGTGGCCTCCTCCTCAACATTGTTGTGATATCTTCCATCTAGTGTTAAACACCATTCTACGATTGTTAACAACTTCTTTTTCGTTACTTTTTATGTGCAATACGCGTCGTGGATATTGTGCTTTTTCTTATATTTGATTATATTTCTGGTGATAATTAGAAAAGGACAAAAATTTCGAAGGGACAACGATTAAGTGGATTATTATTATTCGGGATATAATGATCGACGATAAGGTTTGAATACTTTTCTTTTTTGTTGATTTCTTGAAGATTATATTGAAACAAATGGAACACTTGAATGTGTGCATTATCTTGCTTGCTTTGGTTGCATGGGATTATGATGTATGTGCTTTTTTGTAATTATTTTTTCGAATATTTTTTCATATCCATCATGTAATTTTGAAACAAATGGAACGTCTAATAGGGAGAATTCATTTTGGTTTTTTTTAAAGTTTTTAAATACTATTTTGTATATATATTTATTTTGTATTTTTCTTATAAGAGAGTATGATTTTTAAAAACAAATAGGAAACATGAGGAATGAAATTCGTTCTTTATTTTTATTTTTAAATGTTAGGTTGTGATCTTTTTTTAACAAATTTTTTTTTTACAAATGATTTTCGAAACAAAGTGGTATACCTATTTTGAATTCCCGCTATGTACATATATATATATATATATATATAGATATACTCCTATATACATATACGTGTTATTATACATACACAGCAGGTACTTAAGTCTTACGGAAATGGGACGTAAAAATAATCTAAAGAGAGCTTGTTGAATTTTCCAAGAAAACGATATTTGCATCGATGTTCGCGTATGTACGTATGTACGTATAATATATTGTATGTAAGTAAGCGTTAGGAGCGTGTCGAGAAACGTAGGGTCGATGACGGTAAGGCAAGGGGTGGATTTAATTCATGGAAGCATTGAATACGATTTTAATGTAAAACGTACGTACATTATATACTTTCTCTCGAGGATAATTTATATACACGTGCAATGGAGAGAAATGGTATAAGAAATAGAAAGAGTGAGAGATTATCGCATATTTTACGATGTTACCGAAAGCCGTTAATTCTTTCTTCTTGTCCTTTTTTTTTTCTTTTTCTTTTTCTTTCTTACCTTTTTTGCGTTTTATTATTATTATAAATACTTTCCTTGGGCTTTTCAATCTTCGAGATTATACCATATCGCGTTTATTTTAGATTTACATGCATGCGAAATAGAGGTTTAATCGTTCGATCGCATTATATCAAGATTTATCATTTAAACGCGTAGAGTACACGCAACTGGTTTCGAAGTGAAACAACGAGGACGTGTCGTTAACAATAAATTGTTCTCTCTCCTTCCCCCCCCCCCCATAACGATATATCTAATAATTCTTCCACGAGAAAATTAGATTAAAAAAAAAGCTTGATTTTGTATTTATACGCATATAAAGAGATTTAATAAATAATAATAATAATAATAATAATAATAATGATTATAATATGATAATGCTGGGAAATCATATGAAAGTTGAAAAAGAAAAAGTTTGTAATTTGTTCTGTTTTTGTTGTTTAGATCGAGCGAGCAGTGGTAAAACTGGGTCTGCATACGTGGCTTGGACGAGCATGCACCAAGGTAAATATCGATTCTTGTTAATATACGATCCAAAGGTCTGTGAACGTCGTGTTCCTAGACACTGTATATATCCTACGCCTATACGTAGAAAATATTAGCCTACGTGGCTCTTTCGTCTTCGCGATCTGGAAACACCATTGGACTCTGTAGAGTCACTAACGCAGCTGTTTTTCCAAATTCTGACCCAAATCCTCCTGGAATCGCATACGATCGATAGCCACACAATCGGGTTGGAGTCCATTTCGTAGTTAGAGAGAGAGAGAGAGAGAGAGGGAGATGGGTGGGTGGTTAGTAGAAAAAGAGAGATAGAAAAAGAGATAGGGTTTATCTATTAAAAGTCCCATTAACAAACATTTCGGCAAACCGTTGATTATTGTTTCCAACGATTTGGACAATAGCATTTTACTTCAACGTTCGTTTCCCCTATTTTTCCCCGAAGAGATAATTCAACAAATGCTTTCGTTTTTTTTTTTTTTTTTTTTTTGCCCTGTTTTGATCTTCGTTGTACTAATCGCTATTGTAATGAGATCGATCTATTTTTAACGATACCATGAAAAATGAACGAAACACAAAGATCCGAACGGTCCCCTTTCGATTTAAGATATTTAATCGAAATAATCTTGACGTATACTTAGCCGTCAATTAATATCCATCTAAGTTTAATTATTAAAACGACGACGTTTCTTTTTTTTGTTTATCTTCTCCTCTTTTAATTCTTTCTACTTCTACTACTACTTCCTTTTTTTCTCTCTCTCTCTCTCTCTCTCTCTCTCCCTCTCTCTCTCTCTCTCTCTCTCTCTCTCTCTCTCTCTCTCTCTCTCTCTCTCTCCGGAAAGAGGGGGTGATTCGAAACTCAATCATGTCGCACTTTCACGCGAGTTCAATGGCACAAAAGAGTTTTGAAGCGAGCCCAATATGGTCGATGACAATCGCAAAATTTTCAGTCTGCACATCCACCGACCTCTCCATCAACCCCCTTCCCCTGCTGTCTCTTCCCACCCCTCCCCCTATCACACAACCACCTCTTCCTCTCTTCCTTCCTTCCTTCTCTCTCTCTCTCTCATCCAGCTATTGTCGTTCGTCCATTCGTATGTTCCGTTCACGATCGGTAGCGTTGAAGTATAATCCATGACGCGTTCCCCACGTAATCTGATTATGTGCGCTAGATAGCTTGTAATTAGTTGTATTTGAGCTCGCTGTCGTGACCAAAATTTCTTGTATACCGTTTTCAATAATATTACATCGCGTTCTATCGTTTATCAAAAAAAAATTATTCATTAGCGATAGAAATAATCAAAACATTAAATAATAATAATAATAATGATATTTTATATTTATTCTTGTGTGTGTGTGTTCGGAAAGTAATTTCGTTTTTTTTCTTTTTTTTCAATGACAGATAATAAACGATTTTTTCTTTTGTTTCGTATATGTCATATTTAAAAATTTAAAACGTTTTATAAACGATCTCTCACATTTGATATAAATTCAATATCATCGATTAATTTCTCGCGTTGCTATCGCGATAATATTTTATATTTTATTTCTTTTTTTTTCTTTTTTTTTTCTATATCATTTTCAGCTGGACGATCCAAACTCGACGCGTGCATCTTTCAAATTGAAATTTCCGAAAGCAATTTTGAGAGAGACGCTGAAGTTCGCTTAATATATCCTACTTGTAAACGGGCGCACGATTTTATTCTACCTTATACCGTATTATTATACTCTTATAGTAATAAAAGAAAAGAAAAAGAAAATAAAAAAAAAAGAAAAATATGACGAAAATGTTGGCTTTGATTTTTTTCTTTCCAATACGATGAGAAAAACAAAAACTAAGTTACTCGATACAAGTCGAAACGCAAAAACGTTTTGAATCACGTTTTGATGTGTCTGTTGTTATATAACGTGATATTGATTTCGAGATTTAAAGCAAAGTTCGTCCTAGGTTAAACGCAACTTACTAAAATTACTTTTTGAACTTACTTAATAGACAAATAAAAAAAAAAGGAGAAAGAAAAAGATATGAAAAGAATATAATATAATAATTGATTTAAGATTTTCTTTGTTCGAAAAACTATAACGCGACGCGAAGAATATATCATCTTATAGATTGCCTGAATACTTAAAGCTTCGCGTAATTTCTCAAAGAATTTCTTCGTCGGTTGTAATAGTAGTAGTAGTAGTAATAGTAGTAGTAGTAGTAGTTACCTTGCCAAGCTATGAAATCTCGCGGTAACTCGTAACACGGGGCTCGGCACGCGGAAGTTTCTTCGTTATAATCGAACCTATAGCGATTCACGAGATTATCCTTATATAGATACACGTATGTATTATTTGTATACCATTGATTTATGGCGCATAAATATGATATACGTGAATTATTTATGGATATTTTGTTCTATGATAAAATTATTACCTTCGTTCGATTTATTTAAAAGATAACGAGTAATATAATAATTAACCCTTTTTCACAATGTCGGATAAATGATTTTGAAGAAACATCATTAGACACGATTTTCAACAAAATATTCAAATACATTTGTCATTAATTTCTTTTCCCTTCATTTCGTAATATGTTAATTTTGGAATGTTTCTATATGTCATTGGTAATTTTATTTTTACACGTGTTATCTCTTGGATTCTATTAAATTACATCCAACTTGTTTCGGATAAAAATATATATATATATATGCGCCTATATATTTTCTTCTTTTTTTCTACTATTATTATATATATATAATTTATAAAATTGATTTATACAAATAACGGGGTGTAATTTTGTGGAACGAAAATATTTGTAGAAATTCGATGGTGCCAACGCAAATCTAAGCGAATAAACACGTCGGATATCCTGAGAAAAAACAAATAGGAGCTTCCGTATATAGAATGAGAAGAAGAAGAAGAAGAAGTAGAAGAGGAAAAAACATAGGACGAAGATAGAAACGTAAAGGGGGCGGGGTGGGGTGGGGGGGGGAAAGGTTGTCTCAGAAAATTTACGTCTTCTTTCACTCACTACGCAACTTCGAAGATATCTAGTTGTTTATTTCAGAAACACGGCGTCTATACGACGAGAAGGAGGAACGTTCGCTGGCGTGTGGGAAATCCTAAAAGGGGCTGAAAACGAATATGGAAACGTAGAAGGCAAATCTTTCAGATAGATAAGAAAATCTTCAAAGGATATTTCTCTTTTTCTTTCTCTCCCTTCCCCATTCCTCTTGGAATCACTTTGAGCAAACGACCTTGATAAACACTTTACTTTACTACGAGTTTCATATTTTTCAAACCCTTAAAATAAATAGTATCGTATCCGTTTTATCATCCCACCCTAAACTATTCGCGATAAACATTTATGCAGCATTTTTTTTTCTCTTTTCTTTTTTCCTTTTAGAACCACTTTTTAGATTTTTCTATTTTTTACGGTAATAGAGAAAAAAAAGGAAAGAAAAAAAAACAGGAAGCAACATTTATTACAACGAATGCGTTTACTTTGAATGCGTTTACTTTGAATGCGTTTACTTCGAATGATATTATTCCATAAACGAATATAAAGAACTAACGACGTTGCCTATAATCATGTTAGTCGTCAAACTATCCTTCCATTCTTGTAAATTTTCTCTCATCGCTAGGTTCTCATTCATTCACTCACTCACTCACTCACTCTCTTTCTCTTTTTTTTCTCTGCTCTTAAAAACTATCTACCACCACCCAAATACGTTCGTTCTCTAGGAACATTCGCTTCCGTGCAACGCGACGTTACTCGAGGATAATCCCGTTGTTTTGCATTATCCTTCCCTGTTCCCACTTCAACCTCCCCCCTCCTCTCCTCCCCCTCCTCCATCCTTTCCATTATCTCAACGAGAGTCCGGTGCATTTTGCCTAGCGATAAGACTTGCCTTCTCTCTCTCTCTCTCTCGTTCTATCTATCTGTTTCTTTTTCTATCTATTTCCTATTCTCTATTTCTCCTTTTCGTAAAAAAAAAAAAAGAGGGACGCGTTCGACCGAGATTTAACGAAAAATTGCTTTCCCGTTGAATTATCTACAGTATCGTGATTCGTGCGCGAGAAACAACATAGAGAGAACGTGAAAGAGAGAAAGAGAAAGAGAGAGAGAGATGCATACATAGACAGAGACAGAGACAGAGACAGGGATAGGAAAATGGTAGGAAAAGAGAGGGAACGGAACGGAATGGAACGTAAACGGATCTTATCTTGGTCGATGAAGCACGCCGTTCGATATTCCGATATATAAACACGCCCTCTGGGCGAGTCTAGCATAATAGAATTCCTCGTTATATAAATTTCGGTGCACATTTTTCTGCCATCCATCGATCTATCTCTACCTTTCTCGCTATCTATCTATCTCTCTCTCTCTTTCTTTCTTTCCCAGTCACTCACTCACTCACTCACTCACTCACTTACACACACACATTCACTCACTCTATCTTTCCTTCCTGCGAATTCTCGAGTTCCTCTTTCATCTTCTATCCACTACACCACTCTAATACATTCCCTCTAACCACCCACCCACCCTTCACCGTCTCCCCACCCCCCACTACTCTTCTCTATCTATTTATCCATCTACCTCTATCTTTTTTTTTTCTTTTTCTCTCTCTTAAATTCGTGCACTACGACGTATCGTTTCATCCCTACCTCTTGCTCCCACTCTCTTTCTCTTTATCTTTGTATCTTTCTATCCTTATTTATCTCGGCACATTGCTCGGCGAAACGTTCGACTATTCTTCAAACGCACGCACGGTAATGGAATTCGCAACGCAACGGCGCTCGTTTCTCAAACGATTTTATCCTCCTCACCGTGTAAAGGGAACAACGGACTCTAGAATACGACACAAAGTGTATCTCTCTCTCTCTCACTCTCTCTCTCTCTATCTCTATCTTCCTCACGCTCTTTCTTTCCTCGTGGTCGATATGAAGAGATTCGCTTCGTCGATTAACTTCCGTTTTTCTTCTTCCTCTTCTCGTCTTCTTGTTATTCGTGCAGAACG